TCATTTTAGCATCATAAGCAGTAGGAAAATAATGAAGAATCGTAATAACCATTTCAGCGTTTGTTAGTTCCCTACCTAATGCATGTAAAAAGGTGACTATTTGTGTGAATCATGTGTACATATCAGAAATGGATTTATTATGTTTCATGGAAACAGTTCATAATAATGTAACAAGATATTAAGTCTAGATTGCTTAACATTATTAGTTCGCTCATATGTTATACAAAGTCTATCGCATATGTCCTTTCCACTCTTGCAAGTAGAAACCCGCATGTAATCTTCTGATTTAAGTGCACAAAAGAAATTATCTAAGTATTTGGCATTTAGTTATGCTAAGTCACGTTCTTCTACTGTCCAGTCCACAAAAGCTGTTTCAACTCTAACTCCGTCAACTAGTCTAGTTGGTTTTGTATACCATTCCTGAACTAAGATCCACATACGATAATCAAGTGACTGTAAAAATGTAGACATGCGTGTTTTCCAAAAATCAAAAAGAATATTATCGAACAATGGAGCTCTAGTTATAGAGTAACCCTCAGATGTATTTCGATTTCCAAATGTAGCCATCTATATTAATCAAAAATTAGTCTAAACATATGATTTTAAAATAAAGCTCTGATACCACTTGTTGATACTTGATAAATATGAATTAAGTTGTTAAAACTAAGCTTATGTCCTAGCAGCTAACCAAGAGGGGGATGAATTGGTAATTAAAAAATTTTATCCCTCTTCAAAATTTAGAACCGAGAAAATTAACTTTAATAGATTTTATAGAAAATATTTTTCAACCACAAGTTAGAAACAGTAAAATAAAAATAAAAAGCTGCAAAAAAAAAGATACGAGATTTATAGTGATTCGGTCAAACACGACCTACATCCACTCCCTAGAGGCACCCTCCGAGTATTACACTAATACCACTAGTGACTCTCCTTTTGCACCCACAGTAAACTTTACAAAACTCTCTTCCACCACTACCCGATACGGTAGAGAACCGTCGTCCTTTTAAACTCTTCCCAATGTTGGTAGAGCACCGTTCATCCTTTCTCACTCTCCCGGTATAGGCAGAGAACCCTTTATCCTTTCACACTCTCTTAATGTGGGAAGATAACCCTTCGGCTATTCACACTCTCCAAGTGAGGGCATAGAACCCTTCGTCCTTTCACACTCTCCAAGTGTGGGCAGAAAACCCTTTGGCTGTTCGCACTCACTAAGTGTGGGCAGAGAACCCTTCGACTGTTCACACTCTCCAAGTGTCGATAGAGAACCGGAATCCTTGGCAGATCTTCTTCACAAGAAATCTAGAAGGAAGAGAGAAAAGAGTGAAGTATTCAAAAACCAAAAGTAGAGACTCTTACCTTTGAGTTCCAAGTGAAACTTTCACCCTCTAGTAGTAAGAATTCTCCTTCAAACACTCTCTCACACTTTCTCCTTGACTCTTCTTTTAATTATCACAAAGATCAGTAGGCAAAAAGATTAAGTGGCAGTTTATATTGGACTTTATATAGGAAAGACACAAAAAATCATACAAAACTGCTAAAATTCAAGTCTGTCAGCTGTGGATCGTCCCGTACGATCGTGGATCGTCCAGAACGATGTTACTTAATTCAGTTGGAAATGAACCCAATGTATATTTGTAATAACTAACTTCGTACTTGTTGATCGTCCTGTAAGAACAAGGTTCATCTAGTACGAACGGTTATACCATAGGTCGGTTCCGAAATCTATAGGAAGTCACCAAATTTTCAAGAGTCGGTTCTCTTCGTCCTGGGACGAATATTAGTTCGTCTGGATGAAATTTTTACAGAGGACATTTCATCCTGGGACGAATTGGAGTTCGTCTTGATGAAAATTTTTTAGAGAGCATTTCATCCTCGCATGAATATGAATTTCGTCTGAACAAAAATTTCCCAGAGGACATTTTGTCCTGGGACGAATTGGAGTTCGTCTATACAAAAATTTTTCTGAGAGCATTTCGTCCTGGCATGAATATGAATTTTGTCTGAATGAAAATTTTCTAGAGCCCATTTTGTACTCGGATGAATAGGAAATTCTTCCTGGACGATCAGGACTTAAAAAAAAAAATTATGCTTCCTGTATGTTCCATAGCTCTTCTAAGGAGATAACTGACTTGATCATCTCGTACGAACTGTGTTTGTCTCGTATGATCAGTATAATTTTTTTAAGATCTCCTTAAGTGTGTGTGTATTTACACTATTACAATCACTACCTCTCAAACTCAATGCAAAGAAAAATACAAGCTTCAATTTACAAACTATCTTATGCTGAATTTGATTTGAAGTCGTCATTAGTCTGGAGTTCGAATTGCCTGAAATGTTAGTCCACACAAGAGCAAAAACAAATCTTCCAAAAAGTGTTAGGAGATAATAAAACTTAAAACAATAATATTTTGAATCATCAAAACTATACAAGTTGCAAGAATATAAAACATGCAAATAGCATCTCTCTTAACAAGCGGAGGCTCGCAGCTCATAATTACATAAACTTGCTGCTTAATAAATTCTGAATTACATGTTTACTACTATGTTGATAGTTGTATTTTCTATTTTAGATTTGAGTTAGCTTTTTATGTTTGCTATTATTTTATAATTTTTTCATCTCTGATGTTTTTACTTTGGTTTTCCTTTTTGTTATAGCAGAAATGATATTTTGCCTTATTTTTATTTTCAGAATTTTGTAGTTAATGTCTAAACATCCCTAAATCAGTTAAAGGGAGAAACGCCAATGATTGTTTTCCTCCCTCCAACCTCTTTTAGTGGTGTAATTTTCTTTTCTAAATAAAAGTCTCTCTGAAATTAGCAACTAGACTTTGCAATTAAGATCTTTTCTATCTTGCTATAATAATCTACCTTATATATAAAATGTTCAAAGTCTTTATATTACTTTCAAGTTCTTTAAAATATTATCATTGCATTTATCATATGATTTTGAGTCTGGTTTATGGCTTATTCTTTCTTATATTAGAGAGTGAGTTTTTCTTCTCTAATATCTAGAATATATACTCACAACTAAGAATATTTAAGAGTTTTGAAAAATGGATCTAGCTTGCAACAATAAAAAAAATGTCAATAACGCCAAAAATCAAAAGATGTATAATGATCGCCAAAAAATTATAAGATACACAAAGTGTATCAAAAATCAAAAGTGCGTAAAGTGCGCTAATCAATTGACAAGAAGCATAAAATGAGCCCACAAAAAGAAAGCTTCCCTCTCTTTCAAACCTTTAAATCTTAGAAGAATTCATGTGTAACTTAATATTTTCAAAGGCTTGATTTCAAATTTCATGATTGTGACAAATTACTTTGGTATATTATTCTATAAGATATTCTTTATGGAACCAAATTTTGAATGGATTTTTCTTCTTGTTTCCATTTCTTTTTTTGTCTCTTCTTTTCTATCATTTTGTATTTTAACTTTATGTTTTATTGGTGTTTTTATATTTTCTAGGCCTTCTTTGATCATCTACATGCACCTCTTAAATTTCATTTTTTATCCCATCATCCTGTATGAATTTTATATCGTCCTGAACGATGCATTCAATCCACTCCTAACCTTTCATATGACGGGTGATATGCTTTCTTTGTTTATCATCCTCCTGGACGAAACTTTATCGTCATGGACGATTTGATCGTATTCTACTTTACTTATTGTGATCGTCCCGGATGATCCTCTTCGTCCTGGATGTTCTTAAATCTTTACTCAATTTTGGGAAATCGGCCTGTTCAATCCAAATGTTCGTCTTGGACGATACATGTGGTAATACGTTCAGACCTTTTAAATTCGGCCGGTACGATCAATTAATTGTGATCATCCTTGACGATCCACCTGCTCATCCAGGACAATACACATGGCAATGCTTAAAACATTTTTAAATTCGGCCGGTACGATTATTATGCATCGTCTTGGACGATTCACTTAATCGGCCAGGACAATCTTCTTTTTTAATGGTCGTCTGGCTTGACTCCTTGGGATAATCGTCTGTGCCTTCTTATCATCCTCGATGACTTTATCACCTTTTTGATCAATCATCCCGGACATAATTATTGCACCCGATCGGCCTGGGCGATTTTGAGATCGTACTGGATGATCGATTCATTTCTTTAAAAACTGAGAATTCAATTAATTTTTCTCACATAATCTTTCTTCAACCCTCTTTTCTCTTACTTCCCTTTTATTTTCCTAATTATGGCCAGTGGAAAGAGGTCTCGCATGTCTTTTGGGAGTTCCTTGATGGCAAACCTGGACCCTCATTTCAACGAGGAAAGCGACCAAGCTATCTATCTGAGTTATAAGATGATTGGGATCACTGTTTCCCAGATTATCAACCCACACATTCTTTCCTATCCTGTCCTTAATCTGCTTGCTCACACTACTCTCACTTTCCTCCTTACCCTTACTGCTCTATTTAATTCAGCTCTTCTCTACCCTTCCCATCAATTCATCTTTCATCGCTCTACTGTCCTATGTGAATAGAAAACCTGTCGAAATCACTTATCAGGACTGTCAAGAGCTCCTGCAACTATCTACCACATGAGACAAACTCCACACCCTGTGTTCCAATCCTGACTATGAATGGGCTCTGGAAAATCAATTTTAAAGGAACATCAATACCCCTTTCATGTTGGAGAGATTAATAGTTTACTCAAAAATACTAGAATAATCCAACATGTCCTTTGCACTTCTATTCTCCCAAAAGCTGGTGATCGCATTAATATCACTCCACTCCTTTTGAGCACCACTTTCGATATTTTGGCCTGCCATGAATTTAATGCCTTTGATTTGATTTTTCAATACATTGAGCATCTGATTAGTATTTGCGATCCAGGACATAGGAGGAAGCCCAATCTACCCCTAGGATATATTTTTCTCCTATATCCTAGAATCCAAATACAACCTCCAATATCCTGCCCCACAAAACTTTCAACCTGCCTTCTACTCAAAAACCTCTTTCCACATTTTTTACATTACTTGTCTCCACCAGGCGCACGAGGAAGCCAAGGGAGCTGAGGAGGAGGCAACTCCTACACCTGTTCCTGCACCTGTTCCGCTCCACCAGCACTTTCAGCTGGATCGGCTGGCGGAGCGATTCTACTTGTGAGAGATATAGTTTGAGACCTACATTATTGTGCAGGAGCAGCAATATACTAAGGATGTTGGTCGTTCTGACTCTTACGTGGCTCACCAGCACCACCAGCACGACCAGGTATGGCCTATCTTGGGGAGCAGTTTGTAACTCTTTCTAATTACCTTTACCCACATCCACCACCACCTCCTCCTCATTTGGATGATCAGGGGTCGTCTTTCTTTTAGTTTGTTTTCATTATTTTAGTCTTCTCCTATTTTTCAGTTTATGTGTTGTTTTACTTTTTCCCTCCTTTTTGTGACATCAAAAGGGAAGTAGCTATAATGTTCTAGTTTATACTTTTTTTGAGTAGTTGTACTATTTGTTCTATTATATTTTTCAGTTGTATAGTTGAACTTTGTTTTTCTTCACACTATTTCCATTAAACTGTTTTAAACTGCTTTAATTATTTTTTGTTATTTTCATCATCAAAAAGGGGGAGATTGTTACGAATTTATTTTCAAGAAATAGAATTTTAATGATAGCAAATACTTTCGTTTCTCTATAACTGCCTTACCTACTAATATTTCAAGTCCACAAGATCAAACTTTATTTTGAACTAGCTCAAGATTGGGTAGACTAGATCTGAGTCATTTTGTGAACTTTTCCTTTTCTTGAGTCTATTGTAAATGATGTGATTTCTGATGCTAAATAACCCTACACACACACACTTGTGAGAATTTTTCTAACTGTTTTAGAGTTTTCTATTTTTACTCACATCATTTGAGACGATCCATAAATCAGCCTGGACGATCAATTAAAAATAAAAACTCTAATTAAAGCATTCTGGTTAAGGCAGCCATCATTAAGCGCATCATCCTGGATGATATTTATATATGCTAGGATGATAGGCTCAAATCAGAAAGAATCGGCCTCCAGATCTATTTAGGTAGCTTTTATTTTTGGACATCATCCTAGACGATGCAACATAATTATGCCTAAATTAATCCGGTAATTAAGGACTGCAATTAAGATTTGAGTGTTCGATCATATCATCCTGGACGATCGCAGATCGACCAAGACGATCAGTTTAAAAACCTTAGTAGTTCCTAGATAATCAAACATCGGCCAACTTCTATTCAGAGCGATGTTCTGGGCGATATTCAATGATTTGTACTAATCGTACAAGATGATATTCTATCGACCTGGACGATATGAACAAAAACCTTTTGATTGTCCCAAATCATCCTAACTAATTGAGCTTAATTTGTACTGATCGTACAGGATGATATTTATATTGTCCTGGACGATAATGTCATATTATTACAATTAAGAGCTATTCTGAAATTGTTCTATATAAGACCTCTTGTTCTACCCAAGAGATTATCTTTTGATGTTGTTCTAAACTGAGAGAGCCAAGAGGAGAGGGAGAGCAAGGGAGAGAGGATTTTGTGAGGGAGAGTTTGTGAGGGGTTTCACAAAAGTTGCTTCAAGAAAGGATTCATCGTCATCTTCTCCAATCATCATCCTTAGTTCTTTCGGGGTTCTAGAGAGGTGTACTTCAGGAGGAAGCTAAAGGAGTTAGGTTCTTTGTCTTCTTATAGAGAAAGCAAAAGGAGTTGGGTTCTCTGCCTCACATGGGTTGGTGGAAAGGAGGTTTGTAAAGGCTTCTTCGCCTTGCTGTGGGGGAAAAAGGAGAAACACTAAGTTTAGTGCAATACTCGGAGGGCGCCTCCGGGGAGTGGACAAAGGTCGAGTTGACCGAACCACTATAAATTTTTGTGTTCTTTATTATTTCTTCC